AGAAAACATGTAATGGATGACATCAAATCGAGGATTTGGCGAGGAACAGCCGCGGAAAGAGCGCGCCGCCAGCCGTTCAACCCTCATCTTCACCCCGTAGCGCCTTCAAAAGTGGTTGCAAGTAATTTTTAAGGTCAGAAATGAAAAGTACGCGGAAAATTACATAGAAAAACATGTAATGGGTGACAACTAAACGATGATTAGGCGAGGAACAGCCGCGGAAGAGCGCGCCGCCAGCCGTTCAACCCCTATTTTCACCCCCTAGCGCCTTGAAAAGTGGTTGTAAGTAATTTTTAAGGTCAGAAATGGAAAGTACGCAAAAAATCGCATAAGAAAACATGTAATGGGTGACATCAAAACGAAGATTTGGCGAGGAACAGCCGCGGAAAGAGCGCACGCCAGCCGCTCAACTCCCCCACTTCACCCCCCTGTATCTCCGAAACCGCTTTTTAACTCAAGCTGAAATTTTTACCTGAGACTTGGGGCATCATATGCAACAATTTGGCGCAAGTCCCGTTTGCAAAATCGAGGGCCTAAAAAGGGGCGAATTTCGACCCATTTTTAACAAGGCTCTTTATAACTTTATTTGAGTTAATGTAACAATATTCATCAGTTCAAAGCAGAAGTTTTTAAGTTCTTTATATATGTATCTTTGTAAATTTTATCTATATTATTGGTGCCAATTCTGCTCTTCCCCAACTCTCAGTTCTTTTCAGTGATAATTTGAAGTGGCGAATTTCAGTATTTCTTGCAAAATTTTCACTATTACATATTTTTGATGAGGATTGCATACTTTATTATAGTTCATTAAATCTAGTAGCTCAAACACATCTGCAACATCCCAAAGAATTTGAAACTCCCAGAATTCAATTATATAAAACTATCATGGAAAAAGTTAAATGTGCGGAAGGGATTGTAACAACGTTTCAGTACAATATTGGACATTTTGTCTTTGTTTTGTCAAATTGGAGAATGGAGTGGACTAAATTCAGCAGATAAGAATCAAGTCGCACCAAGTCGGGTCTAAGAAATAGAGATTTGAAGTTTTAACTCTTTACAGCACTTGATGTTTAAGACAAAATTTTACCCCTTTTTTACAATTCAATATTCTTTCTTAACTTTGAATTTTCGACAAAATCAACTGTTCGACTGGTTTAGCTTAAAACTACTAGTGGCTGAAAACAAGGTGGTAAGATAGTGCTATGTCACCACTTGCAGGAAAGCATGCCAACAAGCATGGCCTTGCTTTCCTGCAAAGTTATGTGGACCCAGCACTATTCTCACACTTTGTTACATACAGTTAGGGCCACATTTTTTGGTGTTTCTTTCTTGTTAAGTCTGAAAATAGAAAATCAAAATTTTGAAATTATGGTCATAGTGACATCAGCTTGTCCTCTGAAAGTGATGTAGCAGTCTGATGATGGATCTTGAGCACCATTACCAACAAACAAACCTCATGGGAAATAAACAGCAAAAATATGTTGCAGAGAAAATTTTAATGCAAGTCTAGCATGTATAAAATATGTAATAAAATAATAAATTCCTTAGTCAAGAATATTTATAAAAAAAAATCATTAGGAAAAACTCCTTATTGAATTCTGTGATCAAGTTCTGTTTTGTGTCCCTTAAATACACACTGTAGACTTACTAATTGTATTTGAAATAAATGTCAAGCGTTGGATCATGACTAGCTCATAAAACATTTTTCAAAAGTTTTGTTTGTCCATGTAGGTTTTTTTTAGTGCCTTTTAACATACGATTTTACTGAAAAATATTGTTCGTTGTTAGACACCAATGCATTGTTTTCTTGCTGAAAATTCTCAACATCCGCTAGCATAAGTCCCAAATCATTCCAGGCCCTTTACTACTGATGTATATCTCTAAAATTTGCTTCTGTGGCCTCATAAAAAATAGCGAAAAACATCTACAATATACACAAAATTGTAGAAAAGGAAGAATTAAGTCCTGTGGGGATAAGGCATTAAAAGGGAAAAAATACGGCTAAGTGTATTTTGCGCTTCATTTCTGTGCGCATGTCCCTTTTGAATAAGTTTTTGAAAAATCTGATCCGTTAATTTGCAATTTAAACTCTTCAATCACGAAACAAAACCCTCTTAAAGGTGCAAGTCTCAATATTTGAACAATAAATTCTAAGAAAATTCTTCAAAATAGCACAATTTTTTTTTCCCAAATTGTAGTTTTATGCTTTCAATCGGAAAAAGAGAAACTTTTCAACATCAAAAATTCAAACTTTTTTTTTTGTAATTGAAGCTTCAAAATAGAAATTGAGAAAGAGAGCTTTTTTGCCACAACTTTTTTTAACTTAAGTGGCGCTCTGAGGAATTCTGAATAAAAAAAAGTACTTGTATTCCTACTGTCCTCCTGCGGCCCAGTGTGGGGGTGTAACAATTTTCCGAAAATCCTTCATATGGATTAAAATTACAATCATAAGTCTAGATAAAGGCGGTCTTTTATCATCTTTGAAAAGATTTCAACTCAAAAGGTTGAGCCTCGTGTTTTTAGTGTATGGTTTCAAAGCCACTCGCCAATTATTTCACTGATAAAGAAAAACACTGCCTTCACCTTGAATTGGATTTTCCATTTTAATTTCTCTTTTTCGCATCATCTGATTACACAACTTTTGAGTGAGTTGAGCCATTCTTTGCATTTGTCAAGCATGATTTGTTTCTCTTTCTCTTTTTATCTATTAGATTAGATTCACTATTACTTGTTTTATCTTGCCAGATTGAAAAGGTGGTTCCAAAGGGCACTCAAGTTTAGTAACAAATACAGTTTGCTGAGAGCATTTGTGTGATGATTCAAAGATTAAATTTAGTTTGTGTCTTTATTTTTATTGTCAGAGCAGTGTTCTTTAGTGCCACAAACTAAAAGGAATAAAGAAATTTGATGAGACTTTGTCATTGAAGGAGGCATTTTCTTTTGCATGTCATTAAAAATTAGTGTTCATCAATAGCTCTGACGTAAGTACATGTTCTGTTTCCACATTTATTATGTACTAAAGCAAGGAGTGTATATAAATGGGCTTAAATTCAAGGTGAAGACATGTGAATTGCTTCGTTCTTAATTTCCATTTTCTGGGTACTCAGTATTCTTTCAGAGCTGGTGTCCCCTGAAAAATGATCTTAAATTTTTATTGATGGAGCCTTTTTGAAGAGAAAATATCTTTAAAGTTACACATAGTTATTTATAAAAAATTACCAAGATAAATGAGGAATTCAGCATCGGATAAATTTACCTTCAAATATTTAACTTTTCACGATTTCACCTAAAATTTGCTATTTTTGAGGTAAGCAAAGCCAAACGTTCATCTTGTGGCATATTAATATGCATTTATAAGTAGAAATATTAAAGGTTTATATTATGGCATTTCTAGAGTCCAAGCCAAGCAAGTTTACACAGTTTTAGACTGCGACAGAAGATCTACCATCTTGATTCTTCCATTTACTTTACATGTAAAAGTGATGTCCGACAATCTTCAGTCGCAGTCTAGAAGTGCGTAAACTTGTTCGGCGTGGACTCTACATACATTTACTTGTAGAAATGTTTCAACACCAGATTGAGCATAGCAGAGAGTTCTCCTTTCCTCAAATTCCTGCATTTCTTGAGTGGAAAAAACCAAAATTATCTCTAGTTAGTGACAATAGCATGTAGCAGATTGTCATGTCAAGACAACAACAGTGTCACATTTTTGTATGCAAATACGTTTATAAATGCCGAGAAAATCTTTTTTCAGCCCTGCTTTTCATACAGTAGGCTGGTAGAAAGTATGATTTTAAAACTTATTGTGTTCCGGAGGTTGTGAGGAACAGGCGATGAACAAAGGAAGCAAGCCGCAGTACATTTTCCTAAACTGCAGTTGTAGCACAGTAATGACCTGCTATTACCAAGCAATGTTCACGGTGCCCACCAGCTCTGAGAGTTCGTAAATGAACATAATGGATATTTCCTTTGAATCGTCCTCAGTTCTACAGCTTTAAAGAAATTGATTTCTCTGCATGAGGTAAAACAAAGAGAACAATTAAGGGGCATGGAGGAAAAGGCGCATAAGTACAGATTTTGCTATTTCGAGAAATACGTGTTTGAAGTTTCGAAATTACACAGATCCATATGGCAGAGAGAAAGTTCAAACTGACTTTAATGCTTAAAAATTGGAATTTGGGAGCAAATTTTTCACAGAATATGCATTAAGACTAGTTTTACTTGAAATCATTAATACCTAAATTTTTTCAGAAACTGCACTTATGCACCTTGTCCTCCAAGCGTTTCAACTGCTTAAAAGTTTTGGCACAAGTAGATTTGATTACTATCACATCTTTTTTTAAAAAAAGTAAATTAAAACGCACCTTATTGATGGAGCATACCCATTTACTTCTGAGTAGAGGTTTCTTTACTTGATCGAACTGACGGATTTACAGATAGGATGGCACCCCAGCACATCTGAGAGGAAGAGGAAGTCATGATACTGAAACAGTAAAATTTGAGTTTTAAGCATGAGGAAGAATTATCAACTCTCTCAAATTACCTACAGTGTAAACCCAATGATAAAGGGAGTTGACTTCCAGCGGAAATATGGTTCCTCTTTTTGAGTTTTCGACTAATTGGCATGTCTAATTGGACGTTTTTCTGTCAAACGGAACTAAGCGCCATCGGGGGAGGAAGATAGAGGGGGGCTTGGATTGGCGGAGAAGTCGGGCGTCAGGCTCATTCCGTCCTATACTCGCAATACTTTTCCACGGCGCTTAGTTCCGTTCGACAGAATGCACTATCCAACATTCTAAATTCCTCAAAAGGAACTCCAATTGGCGCTTAGTTCCGTTTGACAGAAATACGTCCGATTGTGAGTATTGACAGTAAAATCACAGAAAGGCATCTGTCAAAACAAATCTTTTCCATGGAACAAGTAGAGGTCAGTGTTGCCAGAAGAACACAGAATTAAAATGAATGCAAGAACCAGCATGGCATCAAACGTCTTATGAGAAGGACAGACACTTTCCATCTAGAGGATGGCAAAAGTTGATGAAAATTAAATTTGTAAGGTTCTTATGTGATACTTAAGATTAAAAAAACAAAAAATCACTGCTCTATTGAACAAAAAATTTCTAGTTTCATCCTAAAAGATGTCTTATAACTGACGTAAGATAGGGCTACCAAATTTTCCACACACAAAGAACCGTTATCGAAGATTTCCAAAACGACACAAACTTGATTTTTTAAAAAATGTGAGTTAGGTACCTTCAGGATCTTGGGTATTGATATGAATCATTCAAACCAACGGTTTTTAGCGCTTCGTTTCTGACGAACGTTGCGACATCGTGTACCCATAGACTTGGATTGAATGGTTGCATACCCATTTTTTGAAGGCGAATCACGCCTAGCGTGGATCAAACAATGATCACTATATCACTCTGCAAGAAAGTCTACGAAACAGTCCTTTCGTATTTGCACATGGCCTAGCATACCTACATATCACATTATCACGCCTTTTTCATACTTCTTTAATACATCTTGGAGATATTCATATTTCATTATTAAGGGACACACACTTTGGGTCATTTCGTGGTTTGACCTACCTATATCTGAGCCGTTTACTCTACTTTCATTTTGAGTTGCCATTATTTTTGTCGCTCGGAGTCCTCAACTTCCCAAGAGGTGATCTTTGGAGTGGGAAGGTATGGGGAGGGTTCGATTCTGGGTCTCCTCTCGAAAATTTAGAAAAATGCTTACTTGACATTTTCCTACACAATTTTCAGAGAAAATTAATTCATAAAAAGAGACGATTCTAATCAGTTTTGAGGTCCCCTTCTGGGGACCGTTCGTACTTTACTTAATGCACTTTATCGGGGTTTTTACACCCCCCCCCACATGTAACGCTTTTAAGACGTAGATCCTTATCCTGTGACACGTAAAAAAGAAATGGCATGACGCTCCCTGGACCCTCCTTCTCTCCTTAAACCCCAGTAGCATTCTTCAAAGGAAAAATCGCGATATATTGCGATTTTATCGGCAATAAAATCGCTAGGATCATCAACATCTGAGCGATTATCCTCGATCTTGTTGCAACATAATCGCGGTTTTATTGCCCGGCAATTAATCTCAATAGTATCGAAACAAAAATCGCGATATATGGCGATTTAATCTCGATTTTATCGACGAAAATTGACCGCGATTTTATCGAACCAAAACTTGCGATGCATAGCGATTTAATCGCCATAAATCGCAATTTTTCATTCGATATTATTGCGATAAATTGCCACCGATATAATCGCGATAACCAACCGATAATATCGCTATTTATCGCGATCACTGCTACTTGGAGCATTGAACTGTAATTTATGAACGGCCGGCTCCTGGCAAAAATTTTACCGCCAGAAAAAAAACTGGCTCGGGAGAATAAAAAGTGACAAAAAACGGCTCAAAAAATAGATTTTTAGGATACATATACATATACTGATGTTTTGAAAAGAAGCCTCAAAAAATTTGCGCCCCTCGGATTGAAGTTGCGCCACAGGCTGTAGCAAATCCTGTCCTGCGGATCTGGGTAGTGGCGTTGCGCCACAGCTATATCGATGGACCCGCGGCGCGGGGGCGGGGGGACCTTGAGTGGGTGCTGTGGGACCGCAACCCCACTTTCGAGCGGAGGAATGGTAGTCGCGCTGTATACCGGAGACATGATACCAGGAGCGATGCCGTCAACGTATACGTATACGATCAACTCGGAATCCTGCCGTTTAGTCTCAGCTCCGAGCCTCAGAACCGAGCCACCTGCCCGCGCTACGCCCCTGTCAACTCCGTGGTTCTAATTTTAGTACCGGTGCACCCATCGATGCATTTGGCGCGGCTTTGTTTTGACGTTCGGACAAACGAGATAAAATTCCGACGGACCCTTGAATATACTGAATGAGTGCGCGAAAGTCTGCCGGACACATAAGTACACACAAAAAAAAACAAACACATTTTTCAGTGCATTGACGTTTGTCCACGAAAAATTTTGATCGAATTTTTTTGTAATTCCGACAGATCAGATTCGGACGGACCGTTGAATGTTGCTTTTTTACGCAGAACTAAGTCCGAGATGAAAGCGTGATCACAAGTGCGCGAAAGTTTCTCGGGAAAAAAGCAACTTGACAGTGCATTAACGATCGTCTACGAAAAATTTGGCGTGGCTTTTATTTTGATATTCTAACAAATTAAGTATTTAAAATATATAACTTCCAACAGGCCCTTATACCAATTTCTGTGCGCAGAATTCCTTCCGAGATGGCGGCGTGAGTAAAGCGTCATTAAAAGAGCGCGAAACTTGTCTAAAAAAGGCGAGAGTTGAGTGTCAGCGTTTAAATCTGGAAAACTTCAGTGCGGGATTGTTTTGATTTTTCGATGAACTAAGTAAGATTCCACCGTACCATTGCATATTTTCTCGTTTGGAATCCTGTCTGAGATGCAGGCGTGATTAAAAGGTAACAAAAGCATAGACCTTTTTGAAAAAAAGCAAAGTTCCCAGTGCATTAACGTTTGTCTGAAAAGGAATTTGGCCTGATTAAAAAGTATTAAACAGTGCACGGAGCTTTTCCGACGTGATAAATGGTGCTGTGATGGTACAAAGAAATTAAGGATTAACATAAAACTGAAGGTATGTACCGTACCTACCTATTACTTTTACATTTTCAATGTAAGACAGCTCTTTTCCTCCAACCAACGCGGGCCTTTTTCCGGTCCTTTATTGACATTATCCATCAGTGCTTTCTGTCTGCAAATTAAGATAGGTAATGCGTGAGAGAAAAAAAAGAGAGCAGATTAGAGATGAAAAGCGAGGGGCTTAGAGGACTCAGCACATAAGTGCAGTTTTTTAGAAAACTGAAATATTAATGATCCAAGTAAAACTAGTCTTAATGCATACTCTGAGAAAAATTTGCTACCTAATTCCAATTTTTAAGCATCAAAAAGTCAGTTTGAACTTTCTCTCCGCCATATGTATCTATGTAATTTCGAAACTTCAAACACGTATTTCTCGAAATAGCAAAATCTGCACTTATGCGCCCTGTCCTCCAACTCCTTATATATATTTTAGGGGAAACAGTTTGAAAATTACCACGAGCACTCCCTGGTAAAAATTGGCGATAAGAGCTGCGTTTCAAAATACCATAGGAATTCTTATAGCCGGCTAAAGGAGGCTACAGAAAATCATAAAGCTGGCTGTAGAATGCGGAGAAAATCATACGGCCGGGCTATACGAAGCTATAAAAAATCATGCAGCCGGGCTATAGTTCCTATCGCCGGGCTTTACACTTTATCGCCTGGTTGTTGCTTTTTTGCCATCGATTACAAAAGGCTGTAAGAAATTGTGTAGAAATTCGTGTGCTTTGGAAATCATTAAGTTTGATACGGAATCACCTTAATATTTACAAAACACACATTATATTTTCCTTTAATACATACTTTTTTTACATCAATTAAAATGAGAATAATCCATACAGGATGTGCAAAAATTTCAAAATCATGAGTTGAATAACGCTGACTCCGCCAGATTAAATATTAGATCCTAACACAAAGCGGAGCGGCGACGCACTGACGCCTATAAACCTAACAGGGATACTTCACGCATTGCGCAACGCGTGAAGTATCCCTGTTAGGTTTGCAGGCGTCAGTGCGCGTTTTGCGCTGGCTGCCCGCCTGCCGCGCCGCAGCGTGCCACGGCGTTTGAAGCAACTCTTTTACACCAGAGGTATTGCACAGCATCATACGAAGCTGAAGGCGCTCTGATATATTAGTAATGGCAGGCATCCATCAAAAGTACGGAGCTTTCCTCGCAAAATAAATCAAGATACTGCGGCCCAAAAAGAGAGCAGTATTCCAAAAACTCACTAAGTCCTAGCATCCGTAATTAGTAACGTTTAGCATACAATTTATCTCCTGGCTGTTGCTTAATCGCCATCGACTATAAAGAGCTATAAGAAATTGTGTAGCCGGCTATAGAAGCTATTGGAAATCTTACAACCGGCTGTAGGTCTATGGTATTTTGGAACACAGATTCTACTGCCAATTTTTACCAGGGCTTATGGAAAGTCTCTCAGGGAAAACCGGGGGAGAGGGGCAATCCTTCGTACAAGCGTCCTTCCTGTTTCTTTCCTACATGCGTTCCTTTCGTCTATCTTTATTCCCTTTTTCTTCCTCCCTTGTTGGGGCAAACGGGGGGAGGGGGGTGGCTTACACCCCCTATACGCCCCACTTGAACCCACCTATGGTGGATTCAAGTGGGACAACTCCACTTTTGGATTGGGAAGGAAATCAATTTTTCGGTAAGTAATGGAAGGCCTGCCGAAGTAGGATAAAAAAAAAAAANAAAAAAAAAAAAATTACTTTTTGATTTCAACTCCTTCACTTTTTTGATGCATAACCCGATCATTACCTAGTCTACCCCGATTTTGTTTAAAAAAAAAAAAAAAAAAAATTGTATTGTCCGGGCCCGTATTTTGAAGAAGAACATGTCTGTTTATCATAAGTAATAAAATAACTGATCATTGATGCCCTGCTCGCTCTGTCTGCTTAACTATGACTAAACTAAAGAGGAGACAATCGCCGACGAAAGCACTTTTTTCCAGGCAATAAACACCATAGGGCCAGAGGGGGGAGGGGGGCAGGCATGCTACTTATGGTACGTGTAAGTGGTTAACCTTCAGACGCTTTCGATTCTGTTATTTAAAAGAGGCGCAGAAGAGAAAGATGAGGCGTGCAGTCACTATCGCACGTTGGGAATTTCTCCTTTGGTGTTTTTGCAGATACTTGGGTGAATTCAAATAAGGGTCAAATTCCAGGTTCAATTTCCTCCCAAAATTTTTTTGTGAATTTTTGGGCAAACCAAACTTTATTTTGACTATCATTAGGTGTAGACTTAGGAAATATAGCTCGTCGAGCTTAATAGTTGGGCTTAAACCCGAACTTCCACCGTTAAGTGTATCACTTCCCAAAATTTGCTCTAATTTTGCCTGATTTCCCAAATTTTCGTCCCAGAGGTGACATATGATACTTTTAATTGAAAATTGAACACAATTGTCATAAAAGCATCATCGAGCACTAAATTAAAGTAGAATTGAAAACATGTAACCCTTTCATATCTTGCAGAACCAAAAAAATTGAGGAAAAATCATCCGTCATTAAAGATATCTGGAGCTTATTCTGCTTGTCTTTTAGACAGTTCCGTCTGTTTATCAAAATGCGCACTGTTTTCCTTTAACACGAGAAGAAGCTTTTATTTCTTGGAATATTGCAATACAAAATGCATCAAAAACACCGAATTTTAAAACTTCGAGTGGGCGTGTACCCGCTGAAGTGGAGATAAAGCCAGGAAAAGTTTGAGGACTAACACCGGGCAACGTTTTTTTATTTTTTTATTTTTGATTTTCCGAAGATTTGCCAATGGTTCTGGGGTAGATTTTTGGCGCTGATTCTGAAGAACACCTCCATTTAACTGTATCAGTGCGATTTATCCTGGGAAAGTTCGGAATTTTTCCGGAGAAATCGGAATTTTCCTTAAAAATCTAGCTTTTCCAGTAGAGTCAATTTTCCGTAAGAATCTATGCAAGATGGAAAAAACCCAGGAATTTTTCGATTTCGTAGCTTGAAACCCTATTGCACCCCTATTAAAATTTCCTTTCTTTTCCTAATAACAAGGTTATCCGGTCCAGTTTAATTAAAATCAATTAATTAGTCACCGAGATAGTGTTTTAAGCCACGGCCACCATCTTAGATTTTCGAATCTTGGAAATTTGACTAAAATTCGAGTTCCCCATTCAAAAATACCCGCGGGTACCAAGTTTCGCGTAAATCGCTTGATTAGGCGCTGAGGTAGCATTTTAGGCTATGTCCGCCATCTTGGATTTTTGAATTTTGAAATTTCGACTAAAAATTCAAGTTCCCCATTGAAAAATACCCCCAGGTACCAAATTTCACTTTAATCGACTGATTAGGTGCTAAGATAGCATTTTAGGCCACGTCCGCCATCTTGGATTTTCGAATTTTGAAAATTCGACTAAAAATTCGAGTTTCCCATTTCAAAATACCCCCGGGTACCAAGTTTCGCGTAAATCGATTGATTAGGCGCTGAGATAGCATTTTAGGTCATGTCCGCCATCTTGGATTTTCGAATTTTGAAAATTCGACTAAAAATTCAAGTTCCCCATCAAAAAATCCCCCGGTGTACCAAGTTTCACTTAAATCGGTCGAAAAGAGCGCCTACAGGGCTTAAACAAACAAGTCTCAGTTGATTAGGCGCTGCGATAGCATTTTAGGTCATGTCCGCCATCTTGGATTTTCGAATTTTCAAAATTCGACAAAAAATTCGAGTTCCCCGTTGAATAATACCCCCGGGTACCAAGTTTCACTTAAATCGGAAGAAAAGAGCGCCTACAGGGCTTAAACAAGCAAGTCTCAGTTGTAACAGTTTTCCACTCTGTCCCACTAAACTGGGACATGGGACAGGATGGAAACATATGGGACAGGATGGAACGGGACAAGATGGAACGGGACAGGATGGAATAAGCTGTTTTTTAAGCTTATCTCTAACAGTAAAGACAATTTTGGTGTTTTTTTTCACGGAATATTTAGTAGCACATCCTAGAGGATCGGAATAAGAGAAAATTTTCCCTGACGCACACTTCGAAAGTATTTTACGAGCTGATATTAGTGTGTGTGTGTATGCTTGACGCCCTGTTAGCTATCGTGTGTAGAATTCTGTTTGGCATCGTTAATGGCGTTAATCTTGCACAAAAATTTGCGAATTTCAGAATTTTTGCCATCTACGACGTGTGAACTATTCAATCAAAACAAAAAAAGTCGTTTTTGGAAAAACCTCAACGTTACGGCAATCATTTAGAGCTTATTACATCGTTGCCATGTCTCTCCTGACTGTTGCTGACTGTTGCTCGGGACAATGATTCTAGGGCGTGAAAAAGTTATTGATGGAGCAAAAAAGAAATTGACATATTTTTTTTCTCAAATTCAAAAGCATTACCTATCATCTCCGATAAAGTTTTCTCAAATAATCACTCTGGTTATGCTGCAACATCGATTTAAAGTCAAGAACCAGGCATGGGGGACACGCAAATTTGGGACAAATATAGGCAATTTGCACATTCAAAGTTCTCCTAAATTTTTATTTCAGTCCAAATAAAGTGGGAAATAGCATGTAATAGTCAACAATAGTGTGGAAAATGAGAAAAAAATTTGATTTGCCCATGTTTCTCAGATTATGACGATTAAAACAGCTCGGGACACCAGATTAGACGCTTATTTGAACTCACCCACTTACTCACAATCAGAATTTTCTAGGAATTTTTATTTACAGGTATGGAGAGTATATATTTTAGTGGTATCCTAATAAAAGAGTACAGGAGGAGGAAGCAGTCGCGAAAACCGTACGTCGATGGTAAAACTAGAAAAACAATACATCTTCTGATCTATGTTCTAAAATTTCCGCTCCTACCTTAATTATTTTACTATTTTGTTTTAGTGGGAAAACAAACTGACCTCTTTGTCTCACATTGTTGCAGAATTCTAGGTGGTGGTAGCCATCCAGGCCCAATTCTTAAAACTCCCCCTAAAAAAGTGAAAACTCCCGCACGGTTTACCGTCGATTTAGCTTACCTATTTACCCCCAAAGGCTTCGGGACCGTCGGATTCGGATTTCTTGGGGTCGGTTCCCGATGGAAATACCTTTTTCCGGGTCTCTACGTCAACTTTGTGACCGAGCAT